AGTCAGTCTCTCGTGTCTCCTTGGGTGCGCGCTAATTGGGACTTGAGATGGGGTCCTCTTCCTGGGTCCTTACAGAGTCAAATTTAGGGTTTTGGTTTTTGTTTGTTTGTGTTTTTTTTGACACAAGAGTCTTGTTCTATAGTTGTGGCTGGCCTCCAAATTGCCATTCTCCTGCCTCTGCTTCTTGAAGACTAGAATTATAGTGGTTTACTAGCATGCAGAGTTCTAAACTCTGAGAACCCTGGCACTGGCTGCTGGGACCAGCCAGGGTTTCCTTATGTTTGTACAATGATGATGACAATATGCCCAGTTTAAAAACAAGGAAATCCTGGGCTTCTAGTGAAGTCTTACCAGCGTGAGCCTGTGTGTTTGCCATCTGTTAGCTCAGAAAGGCTGAGCAGAAGCAGAATCTCAGGACTCAGTTATAAAATGAGTTGTCGTCTCTTATCCTCTTGTTCAAGATGGTGTTGATTTTACAAATGTGTTGAGCCACACATATTTGTTTGTTTGATGCTGGTGTCTAGCACATATATGGACTTGCAACAAATTCAGGTGTGGTGAGAAGAGGCTGTCCAGATTCGTGTGCTCCTGTGCAGATGACTGCAAACTCCACAATGACTGCTGCATCAACTATAGCTCGGTGTGCCAAGGTCAGCTTCCCTGCACTAGGCTCTCTTGGAGCCTGGCATCTTTCAGGGCCTTTGGGGGTTTTTCCTTCACCATTGTCTTTCCTAGGAGCAGCTGCATTTATTGTCATTACAGGAGGAGATGTGTTGATGAGCCAATCACATTTGCTTAAAAAGACTTGTAAAACTTATATCATGAACTAAGAACGTGTGATGTCACCCAGCTGAATGATAGTTACTATCTGTACAAGGTTGATCTTGTTCTACCCGAAGCCAATTTTCTATTTGTTTTCCTACCATCCCCCTCATGCCATTTAGATGGTGTTTGCATGCTTAATACTGTACTTGAGTAAGGAACCCGTTCCAGTTCTGGCCAAGGTTTCCTTGTAATAAAGGAGCACAGTCTTGGCCATGATTTGATGAGACCAGGCACATTCAGGGAGGAATGGCTGGAGATGGGAAATTAGTTCGAAGGATGCTAACAGTGCCCTAATGTTTTGCTCAAGAATTATAAGGTGTCTTGAAATCTCTAAGAGACTTGAGTCTAAATGTGAGGGAACTAAGCCACCAAAGTACCAATTGTGTAGGGAGACTGGGACAGGCTATACATTCTGGCTGAAAATACTAAGATTTAGGAAACAGGAATTATATCTCAGTTCTCACAAAGACCGAATAGTCCCTGTATGTCATGGAGTCAAGCACAATAACCTGTGAGGATACTTCAGTCCACCAATGCTAAGTCCCTTCTGTTAAATTGCATCATGTTTGCACATAACCTGTGCATGTCTTCACACAGACCTTAAATGTTCTTCAATTACTCACAGTACCTGTGAAATACAGCAGCTATGTAAGTAATTGGTATGCAACACCACTTGTGAAATGAAAGTGTAATGTTCAATATGGATGCCATTCAAAACAATAAATATTTTAAATCCACAGTTGGTTGAATCTGTGGGTGCAGAATATTCAGAGACAGGAGGATGTGTAGTATATTGGCATCCTGCAGTTTTGTTTTCTCCTGTTGACTGTTATTTTGAAACAGAACAACTGTTTATATTCATGGTATTTGTCTACTGTAAATGCCTCGAGATGTCTGTTTGTTTTGCTTTGGAGATCCCTGTTGCTGTGTCTAAAAACACTGCATTCCTGCCATTATCAAGTGTGCTAACTTTATTTTTTTGAAAATATTCCAGAAAAGAAGAGTTGGGTAGAAGAAGTGTGTGAAAGCATCGACACACCACAGTGTCCAGCAGAGTAAGCTCGTGTCCCAAGACATACATATTTTTCCCTTTTTGAGAAGGGTCTTTTTTTTCTCTTTCTAAATTAAGACTAAAATCAGTAATAAATCATTGGCTAATTAAACATTTGCTTTCACCAGACCATGTTTGCTGCTGGTTCTCCAGAAGTCTGCGGTATGATCCTCACTCTGGAAGCTAGTATAAAGAGACACACCATGAGTAATAGTGGCTGTTATCAATGAGTGGGTGGTGTGTTTGTAGCCTTCTATGGAAGAAAGCATCTTGGCTCTAGTTTGGAGTTTTTGGTTATGAACTTGTAGCAAATTATAGTTCTTTAAAAATATTTTTTGTAATTGTATGTAGTTTTGGCATAAATAATACATCTATGAGAGGAAGTTACATGAGTTTTGTAATTCATCTGTGTTCTTTTTTGAACTATTCATGTCAAATTACTATTTATTTATGTATTTATTTATTTATTTATTTATTTATTTATTTATTTTGAGACAGGATTTCTCTGTGTAGCCCTCACTGTCCTGAAACTCCCTCAGTAGACAGGATGGCCCAGAACTCAAAGATCTGCCTGCCTCTGCCTGTCTAGTGCTGGGATTAAAGGCATGTACCACTACTACCTTGCAGAAATACATTTTTTTTTACTAGTTTAAAATAATGTCTTTCAGACTTTAAAATACTTTAAACCTATATTTTTTATCTTATTTTGGTCATGTCTGTATTTATTTTGTCATACAACTTTTGTTTTTGTTTGAAGCAGTAGTAATGACAACAGAAACTAAACCTAAACTAAATAATTTCATCAGAAGAGAGGTTTTTTTTGGGGGGGGAGGAGGTCCTCTCTAAGCTGTTTTATAAATGCCAAGATACACTAATATTTTAGACTTGCTCAGTTTTTCTTTCTAAATGTTAGTCATTGCTTTAAAGTTAATGTAAGATCTTTACTGGAAAGTAGAACTCCTGTCATAATTTAGAACATGTTATTCTGGGAAATTTTATGTCAGTGTATTTACCTGGTGTTCCACTCACCCAGATTTCATGGCTTTTGTTGATTGACATAGTTTTGTACAGTGACTGAGACTATACACAGTTGATTGCAATCACTGAGGAGGGGTATGTCATCAAGAGTAGTTCCTGAGAATTGTACATCAAAGTTCTTCCTTTGGTGTGGTTGCTTTTAGGTCTGGATGTTTGCTTAAAATGGGAGGGCTGAGAAGATAAGAGAGAGAAAGCTCATTTGCCTTCAGACTTTGAAGTTCTGAGAAACTGTAGGAAAGGTGTTCACTGTTATTTAGCTACTTAGTAATTCAACTTTTCTACCATCCATTAGTAAAACTGTCGTGACTCAATTTCTGAGGTATGACTGTGTTTTGTTTGTTTGTTTGTTTATTTGTTTTAATCCATAGCTCGCTATTCTCTTTGCTGAGCATACTTGATACATTGTTTTATGCCCTTTTGGGCTTTCTGTGGCACACACCTTCTGTGTCTCTCTGTGGACTCATGTTTCAACATTTCTGGTCACTTCATTGTTTAAATATGTGAACACTGCATTTCTCAAGCTTCTGCACCATATGCTTACCTCTTTGAAATATATTGAACTTAAATACATCCAGGGAGGTAGCTGATGGGCATAGCGCATGTCTGGCATTAGTGAGGACAGATCTGGGCTTGATCCTCAGCATATAAAAAGGAAGCAAAAAAGCCTTATCATAGCATATGTTTTATGTCTAATGAGGTACCATCTACTGAAGAAGAGACAGAAGTTTGTTCAAAAAAGAATTAATGAGAAAGATGTCATTTATTTGTCAAAGTTAGTTTCTTAGAAAGTATAAAAATTTTATAATATGACAGTATCATTTGACCAAACATTTATAATGGCAGGAACTGTGATTGAAGTTCCTGTGTTGTAGCTCAAAACAGTTTGAATCCTTATAAATATTATTGATAACACATACATGTAAAATACTCCTTGATAAAATTTGTGTACAAATATAAATTCGTAGAGGACATTCTCTTGTCTTGCTGACTTTTCAGACTACCTCAGTTGCATGCTGACCTCACTGAGAAACGCTCATGAGTGTGGAGCCAGGGAGAGAGTAGAGCCAGGGAGAGGGTGGGGCCAGGGAGAGGGTGGGGCCAGGGAGTGGGTGGAGCCAGGGAGAGGGCATCTTCATTAGATGTGTCTTCATTTTGTGTCTTTACACAGTTTTCTTTTACTCATTACCAGATTTGAATCACCCCCTACACTCTTGTTTTCTTTGGATGGATTCAGAGCTGAATATTTGCGCACCTGGGGTGGACTTCTTCCTGTCATTAGCAAGCTGAGTGAGTAACTTCAGAGTTGAGTACTGAGGGGTCATGACTTTGGAGATGGATGAGGGAAGGGGGATGGTTTTGGAAAAGTACTGTGAAGCCTTTCACTGTTTTACCAAACTTCTCCCTTGTAGAGCGCTGAACTTGTCAGAACACTAGTGTTGATACTGTAGATCGTGGAAACTGCCCCCAGAATACTTCTAGCTTAATCGGTTGTCCTAGTATCTTAACCCTTGACCATGACTACTCACATTTATTTTTCTTGAGAATTTTGGGAAAATATTTACTTACTTCCTAAGTTTTCATGTCAAAATAGGATTGAGAAAGCTGACTGTTTTGGAAACTAATATAAAACTCATGTAGACTACTAGCCTCTGTTGTCATGTGGGTCAAACTGAATATCCATTCACTTTTGTGTTTTATTTTTTGAGACGTCTTATGTAATATAGGCTAGCCTTAGACTTCCTGTGTAGTTAAAGAGAGCCTTGAATTCTTGATCTTCTTGGCCTTACTTCCCAAGTTCCGAGGTTATCGGCATGTCTAGCCATGCCCATCTTCAGTTTCTTTATCTTAATGCTCTCATTGAATGACTATCCTCCACATTACTGATGAGCTAGGAGGTTTTTCTCTCACTGTCACAAATAAAGCTCTAAGTCTTAACTTTAGTGAGTTAGCATCATCATTGGAAGTGGGAGAACATGGGTGGATGTGACACCTGTTAGACTTTGTTAGGTGTTAGTGCTCAACAGTCGCTATCCTGGTCTCCATGCCCAAAACAGAAGGAGATATGCCCAGTTATTGTAGCGTTCTGGAATTCTAAAATAGTTCCTAGACAAATACATTATATTGTTTTAAACCTTAAACTTACTCTCAGTAAATGCATATGTATATCATTATGCTGTGTTCATTTAAAATTTTCAGTTTTTAATGTCTGCATGGAAGATAATCTTTTCAGTAGTTACTTGGCATAAATCTGGCCTGTGGACTTGGAAGGTGTTAGCCAGCCCTCTGCCCTTCCCTGAGACTTGTCTCTGTGGTACCTAACATGGTCCCTGAATTCAAACTTAAGGAGCTGTTGGCACTCATGTGTGACATTTCAACCAAATCAAGGCTTAGCTAGCTTAAGCTACAACACTGGGTAACCAGGACTGTTGTGGCTTGTGGCTGATGACTCAAAGCCCTTATGTATGAAGACACATGTCAATCTGGGGACTATTGTCAGATAACACATTTCAAGTGCTGGGGTCAATGATTGTATATTCTTTTCCCAAGAGTAGACAGTTCGGAAGAGTGAGACACAGGGCTAGATCAGGAGAAGGTCAACAGCGTCTGATTTCTCAGGTCCCCTTGACACACCTTTTGCTTTTAAAGTAACTAAGAAGCTCATCCATGGATGTCTGGTTTGTGCTTATTTATAGCCAGGGACAATGTCACCTTAACTACTGTGTCTTCTAGACTTAGCTGAGAGTGCAACCACTTTTTCCCTACACTTACTGTTAGTTAGCTATTTGAACACTAAGTATTAGGCTCTTCCAAGTGTCATGTTAGTACATCTGTCCATCTATTCAGGCTACTGATAATTGTAGGATAACTGCTTACTTGGCTTAATCATTTGCATATTGTTTTCTAACAAAGAATATAAGGTCTGGAGTTGAGGCTTAGGTGGTAGAGGGCTTGCCCAGCATACATGAAGCCCTGGGTTCAGTTCCCAGTACTGTATAAAACAGGCATAATGGTGGACAGCTGTAATCCTAGCACTGGGGAGGTGGGGGCAGGAAGCTCAAAGTTTAGTTTCTCCCTTGCTGCACACCAAACTCGATACCAGCTTGGGTTACATGGAAAAGAGGAGAAGAGAGAGAAATAAATAACACTTTTTATTTCATTTTAATACTAAATTTGTAATGGTTGTGTTACTTTTGACTCGTTCTGAATTTTGATTTGGCTGTGTGATCTGCATCCTGGAATAATTACTTTACATGATATGCCTAATAGCAATGTCTGTTGCTATTTTGTTTTCTGTCTAGAAAACTGTGGAACGTACACTAAAAACATGAGGCCGATGTACCCTACCAAGACGTTTCCCAATCATTACAGCCTCGTCACAGTGAGTAGGCATCCAGGCATTCTGGGTTGGGACCAGGAAGATGTAGTTGAAGGGCATAATTCAACTTCAGGCGAGACTGAGATAATTTGCTTTGGGATGTGAGCTATAATCTGCGGTTGCTCTTTCCTTAGGGACTTTATCCAGAATCCCATGGCATAATTGACAACAAGATGTATGATCCTCAGATGAATGCTTCTTTCTCACTTAAAAGTAAAGAGAAATTCAACCCTTTGTGGTACAAAGGGCAGCCGGTAAGCTGTTTGTCGTGGCTACTAAAACAGTTTATTATTCATACTTATTTTAATCAGAGAATATTAAACTGATTCCATAGGAATTTCGGCAATATTTGATCTCCCTTGTGTAGTGCTGGCAACTGTTGACAGTCTGATATGTATGTATGACTGCACAGTTTACTTTAGAGGTAGGTTTGGGTTATACCAAGGCTCTTTTTCCCCCTGGCTGAGCCTTCTCTCCTGAAGTTCTAGTTGTTCGACATAATAGTTTTTATTATTTATTATTTACCTTTATATGTTTATGGTACATTGTATGATAATTTGATGTAGGTATACAGCACATAATGATCAAATTAGTGTTCTTCATGTTTTCAGCTTCTTTAATATTTAATTTTCTAAGATAATTTGAAGTAATGCTAAGGGGATAAAGATGTTAACTACTATGGTTTGGTAGCATACCTCATATACACGATTATGGTAGCCTAACTGCTAGACCTTGAAAACACTGTCACTGAAGAAGAATGCATTGGTACTGTTCTCTGTCTCCTTAGAGGTTGGTATCCTCACTATCCACCTCCCTTCCATTGTCTTTGCCAGATTTGGGTGACTGCTAATCGTCAGAAGCTCAAGTCCGGCACATACTTTTGGCCTGGATCAGATGTAGAAATTGATGGGATTCTACCAGATATCTACAAAGTGTATAATGGGTACGCATGGATGAACTTTCCCTGGGTTTTGTAACATAGTGCAGCTTCTATTTCTCTTTACTCTTCCTTTAATTCAGTCCCCAGTTCCAACACTTGAATGACACTCTGAATTAAAGATCTTCTGGATAAGAACTTCTTTAGAGAGTCTTAGATGGTGCTGAATAGAAAGTAAAATCAGATGAACAGTTTATAGAAACACAAAAAGTGTTTTGATCTTTGGGCAATGTTTTTGTTGTTGTTATTGTTTTTTTTTTTTGGGGGGGGGAGGGAATACTGGGAATGTTGGTGCAGGACTGTAATTCATGTAGCAAGACACTGAGGCAGGATGGTTGTGTTTCAGGCGAGCCTAGGTGGCAGAGTGAGATCAAGGCCAGTTTATGTGAATGCAAGGTCATCCAGAATTTCATAATCAAACTTGGTTTCAAATAAAAACAAATGACAATTGTATAGAAGGAAGGGAGAAGAAGAGAGAGAGGGAGAGAAGGAGGAATAGAAGGCGGGAGAGAGAGAAGGGGGGAGAGAGAGAGAGAGAGAGAGAGAGAGAGAGAGAGAGAGAGAGAGAGGCGCACAGGCACAGAGAAATCACAGTGGAAACAGTTCTGAGCATAGTGGTGCTATGTATTTTAACTCTAGAAAGTAAAAGAGAAGGAAAAAAGAGATGCATTAAAGAATCTATAAGTAGGAACTACGCCATGGTGAAGTTTGGAACATTGTTTAAAAGAAGATTGTTGTATCTCTGTGCTTCCATTTCTAAATTGCTTTAATATATTTACTCTCTAACATAAGGGTGTATTAGATGGGCTCTCTGATTTATTTTCAAACTTGTACAGACATTTTAGGGAGAACTTTCTTTCGTTCATTTTAGCAAAACTACCAAAGTAGTTTCTTTTATACTTTGGAAATTTATGATTAAACTTATAACATACCTTACCTGAGAATGTCAAAAATACTCACAAATCCCAGACTAGCAAAGGATGGTTCTTCCTTGGTCACCTCTTGATACTGTGTGTTCTGTGTGGCTCATGGAAGGTGAGTGTATGGTATGTTCTTGTCTCAGCTGCTCGCCATAGTTTTTATCTCATAGATCGAGTGATCCAAGGTGCATCCCACTAGCCTAGGCAAACCTACAGATTAGTGAGGGACAGCCTAGATTTCCTAGATGTAGTAAAGGGCACAGCTGATGGTTTGTGGGGTGAACAGGCTTTGGAAGACAATGTTCACAGAACCCAGTGACCAGAGAAGGCAGAACTAATTTCACTGAAGGAAAGTTGTGTAGACGATGGTAGTCTGTTTTCACTGTGTCTGCTTCCCAGTCACCAGTTCTTCATGTGACAGTTGCCATTCTCAACTGAATGTATAATGCCTCAAAAGAAGACAAGAAACAATTTTTTAAGCCCAGCCACATTTATATGTATAAAGTTAAATCTTGGTCTTCATTAGAAAAGCAAATTTAAGTTTGAAAATAACACCTTCTTGTGTTTGTTGTGTTGGGGCAGGGGGAGTCTGTGGGACAGGGTCTTTCTTTATAGACATCAAACTACAGTTCTGCATCTGTTTCCTGATATTGAAATTACAGGATGGCAAATAAATTTCAAATAATTTCAAATGCAGCAGATACCTTCATTTTATCTGGTATCACTACTATTTTTAATAAAAAAAAGATTGACATTTGACATAGTTATTGCAGATTTGGTTTAATTTGTTTATCCTCAATTTTAGGTCAGTACCATTTGAAGAAAGGATTTTATCTGTTCTTGAGTGGCTACAGCTTCCTAGATATGAAAGGTATGTAGACAATTTCTGGGACAAAGGTTGCTTTGTTTCATAGACGTCACGTGCTTCTGTACATACTATAACAAAGCTGTTGTTTGCTCTGATGACTTACATCCAAAGAAACTGGTCAACAATTACAGCTTCATTTTGAAGAAGCCCAAGCCTGTAAATGGCTCCTCAGAGTTGTAGGGATGCTACCTCAGTGCTGTAGGATTTTTAATCAGGATCAACTGTTGAATTATTCTTTCCACTCTGTTTTTCAATGTGTTCGTAAAATATTACATTTTGATACTGTTTGATTTAGACCACACTTTTACACTCTGTATTTAGAAGAACCAGATTCTTCAGGGCATTCACACGGACCAGTCAGCAGTGAGGTAAGTTCATTCTTATTTATAATCACTTCATTAAACTTAGTATTCTTGAAGTGGACTTCAAGAACATTCTGTAAGGTACTGTGACTTCTGGAAAGAAAGCTGTTAGGGTTTTTGGAAAGCATGTTACATAAAATTCTATGTAACCGAAAATAACAATTTAAACAAAGCAAGAGATGAGCTGAGAGAACTGGTTTTGCTTACATTTTTACAGTGCTACATTAAACTTTTATTAAATCATGTATTCAGCTCTGAATCTTGTATCCTCTCTCCATAATCTTCATATCCTCTCTTTGCCTTTAACCTGAGTGCTCTATGAGAAGTCTTTAAGTATCTAAGACTCCAAATTTCTGTGGAAATATCCTCTTCTTAGCAGACACTCTCCTGACTGTGAGCCATGCTTATAATGGAGCTGGGACTTCAAAGCATGAAAGACACTATCAAAAGGGAAGAACCCGGCAAACAATAACTATGTTAGCTGCTGTGACACTAGAGATGGGAACCATTCACCTACGGAGTAAAGATCATAATGTGTCTTGTTCGACCTGCCATATTTTAGAAATTTAGCCAGTTCCTAGCTGTGGTCACTGTAACTTAAGCAGCACTTCCTGCTTTCTCAGTTCATGTCACCGTGCCGTTCACATGCTGTGGAGTATAGAGCATTAGCACGCAAGGCAACTTGAACTTCTTCCTCCCTGCATCCTGTGTTCTGTTTTCTTCTGATGTGTGAGTTCTTTCCTATGGCCTGAGATAAAATACAAACTAAAGACTTGGGGATCCTGTTGGACATAGGATGAAGAAGAGGTGTTGTCAGGTCTTTCTCGTCCTATGTGTCCAGAAGACAGACTACAAACCCACTGTCTTCCTTAGTAATAAACCCTTCTCCCACATTCCCACTAATTCCCTGTCTAGGTGACAAAGGTTGGATAGTTCACGAGTCTTTAGGATTCTTTATTGCTTGTCCAGATGGAAGCTTGGTCTGCTATGTCTACTGCGGGCTCTGTTTTGAGTAGCCATGTCTATGCTTCTTGGTCTAAGTGAATTTAAGCCTCTGAGGAGACCATCTTTCCTTGTTTTTCAGCCCTGTGCTTGGCACGGACTTGAACCCTTTGAAAGAGAGATACTATTCTGTGTTGCTTTCATATCAGACGAAAAAGGGAAATTAGTCCTCAGCCAGGTCTGTTTCTGTCCTTGGCAGTCTTTCCATCCAGATATGTGTCTAGCAGCTCCATGGCAGATAGCAGCCCCACTTTACCCAGCTCTGACTCTGGCGTCAGTAAAGCAGACATGTTCCGTGCTAGAGTCAGGGTTATGAAGAAGCGTGACCAGACTGGCCATCTCACAGTAAGACTCAAGAAACTCTTCTCATGATTATTACTATGGTTTGAACAATTGGCTAGGCATCCAGTGCAATTTTCATTATTTTACTTACGAATTTGTATTATTTCACTGGTATGTAAGATCCATGACAAAGTCAGTTTGGCTAAAAACCAATTGTTTATTTAGGTCATATGATTAAGATCCATGCAGCCCTGTCTGATTTGCTCAGTTTTCTCCTGTTTTCCTAATGTATTCTTGTTCTGGATGAAGCCCACTACTTTTCAAATCATACTAATCAATTCTTTTCAACTCTCTTAGTATTACTGGCACCTGAAAACCACTTCAATATTTAAAACTTAAAATCCATGTCATTCTGTGAGTGAAGCATCATGTTGAAGGATTTTATCTTGTATTACATGTTGAAGGTGTAGAAGCTGTAAGTGAAGATAGACAGAGAACAGAGGCAAAAGCTTGTTTGTGTGGCTTTACAATGCACCAGGAAAATAAACTGCCAGAAAGCAGGTTACCCAAACTCATAACTACTATATAGCCTTGGAGTATCAATGTACAAAATAGATGCATTTTGTAAGAAAATAAGGGTCTCCATTCCTGAGAGTTGTAAGTTTTTTTTTTTAAGTAAATAGAACTGCATGAAGCATTTATGGATTAATTTTATCCCCCTTGAAAATCAGGAAACATTGTGCTCATAACAGTGACCATTTAAATGATTAAAAAGTTCAAGACAAAGTTGTTAGTGGGAAATGAAATGCTAATTAAGAAGGCATTGGTTCTGCTCAGACACTGCAGACTTGAGGGGGCATTTGTTTTGTTGCTGTTTAATCGAATCTAGTCAGAGTGTGATACTTGAATCTCAGGGAGGGACTAGCTAATGGTAACCCCAGAGTACATAGTTGAATAAATATACAATCTGAACAATTCGACTCTTAATGATTGGCAGAGGTTTTATGATCCTGACCTGTATTAGTTTATCATAGGTTATCAATGCCTCAATGCCCCTTCCCTCCCCCCTTCCCCTGCTTCCCTCCCTCCATCCCTCTCTTCCTGCTTCCCTTCCCTCCCTTTCTTCCTTTCATGAGACTGTGATTATGTAGAAATAGCTTTAGCATGGAGTGCATCACACACAGCTGCTTGCCCTTCCTAGGTCATCAGGGCCTTGCAGAAGGTTGACCGCATGGTTGGCATGCTGATGGATGGCCTGAAGGACCTGGGCTTGGATAAATGCCTGAACCTCATCCTTGTTTCAGATCATGGTAATCTGAGTTCATGCATTCATTCTGTGGATTAAACAGTGTGTTTTAAAGAATTGGTTCAATTGATTCCTGTTTCATTATTTTTACTGAATGTTGTAGATAAAGCCTTTTGCTTTTAAATGTGATTTCTTAGGGGTAGATTTTAGGGAAAATACATTAAATATAAAATGTAAGTAAAGTATAAAATTAAAGAAACTTGTAGATATGGCCAGCCATAACCTATCTGACCTTTTCTCTGATTTGATAAAATTCTACACCAGTATTGAAAATACTAAAAATAATCTCCAGCATTAAATTTGAGTAAGTTTAGGTTTAATTGGGACACATACTTACATATCTCTTCAATTCATTTTAGCATGATAAATCTGATTTTCGAGGTGGTACATATTACTTTTATTTTAGTTTCTCACAATACATTTTATTAAGAGCTTTAATTTAATTATTACTTGTATATACACTGCACCACTGTGTGCTGTTGGAGGTCAGAGAACAACTTTTGGGAGTCAGTTTCTCCATCCACCATGGGTTCTGGGGACAGAGTTAAGGTTGTTAGGTTTGTAGAAGTGCCTTTTCCAGCTGAGCCACCTCACTGGCCCCCAAATGAAATTTTTATGATTATGTACAGCTTTGGGACTACAGAGCACAATCCATACAAGAAAGTAGTAAATAAGCTTTTTCTGGTTCCTTTTGTTAGTATCGCTTGTTTTTTGCTTCAGAAATAGTTGTGGACTGCTGTCTTAGGAAACAGTCCTAACACTGTATGCTCAGGGATCTCCTACTTCAGAAGTATATTCCAGTTTAATATGAGGTGTTTTGAGGTAAATTGCCCTCTTCAATTGTGGAAAGACACCCGGCTATGCTCATGTGGTGGTTGCATAAGACAGCAGGAAGAAGGAACATTCAGTTCATGAAAAATCTGGGGATGAAGGAATGGGAGGTGTAGACAGACTGGAGAATTGGCTCAGTGATTGAAGTGCTAGCTGCTCTTGCAGAGGACCTGGATCAATTTATGGAACCCACATCAGGAGGCTCATATCATGTGTAACTCCAGTTCCAGGGATGACCTGTATACTCTGGTTGTCTGTGGGTACCTGCACACATGTCATATGTATATGTATATATACATACATATATATGTGTGTATGTATATGCAAACTCATGTAGGCACATGCACATATGCATACCTAAAATAATAAACATTTTAAAAAGAGAAATATAGAGAAAATATGCACCTAGTTGAAACTTTGTGTCTTATCAGATGATCAGCTAATATGAATACTAAATTATGTATGTCTAGATAATCAGTTAAATTCTGGAAGTATGAAGTGGCTGAGGCAGGCAGATCTCTGTGAGTTCAAGGTTAGTCTGGTGTATGTAGTGAGATTCAGGACTACGGACAGAGATCCCGTCTCAATAAAACAATAAGAGATAAAAACTGATTCTGGAAGTGAAAGAAATTATGCTTTATGTGTTATTTTCTTTAGTCATGTTACAACATGTTTTGTGATTTAATTCTTCCAGGCATGGAACAAGGCAGTTGTAAGAAGTATGTGTACCTGAATAAGTATTTGGGGGATGTGAACAATATTAAAGTTGTATATGGACCTGCTGCTCGATTGAGACCCACTGATGTTCCGGAGATGTACTATTCATGTGAGTGAAGCTATTTGCTAACTTTAGATATCACTAGAGACAATGTATTATTCTCCATCAATACATGTCAGCCCTAGGAAAGCATGGTGAAGTCTCCACACAGATGTTCTGTACTGGCTATCATTGGAGTGAAGATAGGGTAACCATTTACCAACTATATATTCTTGGACCAGACACTATTTGGTGATCTTAATATGATTTCATATTACAGTATATAGTCTAATTATTAAGTTTTACCACTGTTTATGGGAAAATTGCTGCTATATTTTTAAACATTAAATAATGGCATTCCATTACAATAACCCACCACTTTAGAATATTATTGTTATGAAGAGGAATGCAATGCAGCAGAGATTATTCACTCAGTAGATAATCAATTTCTTTACTAAGAAACAACTTCCTAAAGCAGCAGCATACACCTTTTGCATATAGAGAAGCATCTTCTCTCATGACCACTTTGGACATAAACCGCCAAGACATCTTTAAAGATATTTATTACTTTGCACAGCGAGCTCACTTCATAACTGTCTCTGATCTCCACGGCCCCTTTTCTGATTTCCATCTTTGATTTTGTTTATCTTTTTGACACAATTATTTTTGATATCATTGTGCAATGGAAATATAAATGTGTCTGAATTATCAAAATTGGATTAAGTTTGGGTTATGCAATGAAATACATTTCAGTAGAGATGGTTGAATATTTTGCTGCCGTTGTCCTCTAAATAATAGAGTCTTATAATCAGATGCAGCTCACTTCCTTTGTATTGGGCATTATAGTAATTCAGAGATGAGCTAAAATAGACAGGAGATCATGTAAGTTACATACAAAGACTACAGTACTTTGTAGGGGATGTGGCCATCTGAGAGTGACAGTATCTGAAGAAAGGCCCTAGAAACGTTTTTCATGGATTCTGAGGCAAACTCTTCCTGGTTAATGGCCTGTTAGAAATGTGTAGACTGGCATTCTTGGGTGACATTCAGCACAGGGTGGTTGGGGTTGACAGAGTGGTGTTTGGCAATGGTTGAGCTTTTATCCACAACATCATTCCAGTTAGGACTCCAGACCTCCCAAATTAAAGAAAAAGTTGTGTATTAATTTATTTGCATGCATACAAATGGATTGTTTTGTGTAGGCAATTTTCTCAAATGTATGTAACTAAAGATGAAACTAAAGGGATTTTTAGAAAACTAGACAGTTGCTGATATGTAGCACAAACTACACTAGGAAGGTCGAATGGACTCCCTATTTAAATCCAGCTTTTATGCTGATCTACTTGCCTCTTCATTTGTGTCTGTTTCATTTGAAACTTCCACTTCCTCCTCTACAGCACAGCTCATTTCCTCTCTTTAGAGACTGCTTGCTAAGCTTGGAATGTCTTCCTAAGTTCTTTCTGTAATGTATCAGAAACTCATATTTTTATTGTTACACAGAGAAGTTATGCTGGGTCTGGATGCTTGGACAACAGCTGAAGAGTCAGGTGGATGAGTGGACAAGCATATGGTTGCACAGATGGATGGTCAATAGATAATATATTAGTTTCCTTTTTATGCAGCAGTGTGACATTGTTTCTTGGTACCGTCATGACAGAGTGGTACCTATGGACTTGTTTGCTCTTTTTATTGGCCATGCACTGATGTAAGAGGAGCTTTCTGAAACCAGCCTGGTGTAGCTCCATTGCAGAGAACTTGCTTAGATGGAGGAAACCCTGGGTTTGATCCCCAGTCACACACAAATTGGTTATAATGGCACATGCCTGTAGCCCCAGAGTTCAAAGACATCCTCACTGCATAATGAGTTTGAAGCCAGCCTGGGCTATATGAAATCCTGTTTCAAAAAAAGGAAAGAAGAATGCGCTATTTCATTGATCAGTTCGTGTGTAACAATATAAGGTTGTGGCTCTTGTATTACTTTTACTGTTAATTGTAGCATATCATTAACTTTTAATTCTTTTGTTTGTTCCTTCAGTTAACTATGAAAGCCTTGCAAAAAATCTTTCTGTGAGTATCTTAATTTTTCATTATTTAGTTATTGCTTTCTTGGTATATATAGAGGTCATGGTTTCTCATTGTGCTGCACATCTCTAATCTTGGTTTTGATTTGATTTATACTAAATATCTATTTTTAAAATATATATTTGTCCTAGTCTGATATATATCATATGCAAAGGAATGCATATTTATATGCATTTGTGACATATCATATGTGATATACATCATATATATATATATATATATATATATATATATATATATATATATCATATTTGGTACAGTCTATGTATTGAAGAATTTTGAATAGTCACATTTAATGGGCATGTGAAATAAGCACTTTAGTTTTAACCCCACTGTAACCCAGTGATACTCTAAGAATCCTAGGACTTTTGCTCAGTAGTTATTATAATTCTCAATTGAATAGTTCCAATGACTATTCAAGTCCCACAACTAGCAAGAAGCATTAGTCTCCTAGCTGCACCTGTGTCTTCCAGTCAGGCTGGTAAATGCTTGTGAGTAAATCCTACCTGAAGTTAAGGGATTTTCAAGATATTTATGCCCCAAATGATGTAAGAATAATGTTTTTTATGTTGTTGTTGTTGTTTTGTTTTGCCTTTTGCTCTATCAGTGCCGAGAACCAAACCAACATTTCCGGCCTTACCTGAAACAATTCTTACCCAAGCGGTTACACTTCGCTAAAAGTGACAGGATCGAGCCGCTGACCTTCTATCTGGACCCTCAGTGGCAACTTGCATTGTAAGTCATGAAGACACTCTGGGCATATGCAGCCTGACATAGTGTCCACTAAGGGGAGGACTGGCCCCTTTCTAATAGTACATGAAGGATGTTCTTCACTCTAACTTTAAACTCTGAACATGTTGAATTGGATAGCTCTTGTACCTTGTGAGCGGCTGCTCAGTTCATTATAGGAACTTTGACAGGACCCTGTACTCCTTTTAACATTCCATCTCAACTTCCGACAGTCTGGAAAGTTTACAGATGTTAAGTAACATCTCCTGGGGATGAGCAATCAGCTCTGACTAAAGCTGTTGCTTTGGCTGCTCACATCCATATTCTGGTTTCTAACGATCGACATTAATGTATTATCCACACCACCACAGTTCTTCTGTACAGTAGTTATTCCTAACAGTCCTTCCAAGATTGGCAATTGTGAGAGCACTCTTTAACAAGCATGCATCTTTGTTACACACAGCTGCTCCTTCTCACTGTCTTATACCAACTCTTCAGGAAACCTCAGTTTGTTGGGGCTACTCACTCAAATAGTTGCATGATTGATTATATTCATATCTCAACACTTGACCATTAAATTATTTTGGTAGTCACCCACAAAACCATTAATTGTGACAAATGGCCCTGCCAAATAATACTCAAAGCATTGAAACAGTTCAGTCAACAGTTACACCCTCTCCTTTCTATTACAGAGCAAGGCATTTAGTCCAGAAGATGCAAAATAGACCAATCCTTACACTTGGAAGGTTTAGTATATAGTGACTATTTAAATACTATATATGAAGGCTGGGTATATAGCTCAGTGATAAAGTGCTTGCCTAGCACTTCTAAAGCCCTGGGTTCAATCCCCAGTACCTCTAACAACAGTAAAATACTACATCTAAGTATTATTATAAACCCATCATTATTGAGTTTTTACAAATGACCTAAAAGAGAAGTTGGAACCAAGTGAAGTGAAGATTATTATTATTATTTTAAATCACAGTCAGCATTACAAGACCCTTCTATCTCTGTGCTAAGGCTTGGTCACCTCAGTCTGTTGTTTTATGAATAGATCAGCTCTGAGCAAAACAGTATAAAGAATAACACTCAGGAGTTTCAAAGCAAGGTGGCTTTATTTAGTTTATGGTGACTTAACAATAGTCACTTGTTCTTTATGAGTGAACATAGCAGTGTGGTTGAAGTTTTGTCCAAGAACTAGAATCATATTACTAATTTCTATATGTCAAAATTTAGAAATCCATCAGAAAGGAAATATTGTGGAAGTGGATTTCATGGCTCTGATAACCTGTTTTCAAACATGCAAGTAAGTAAACCTTTTATACTCCACTGGTAGGATTAATCTGAAGAAAACCAGATTAAAAAATCTGAGTCTTAAAAGAACAAACTGAGTGTGTAGTGAAAGACAGTTACTGAACTTTTCTCCTTTGGGAAGACTTAGAGTCTGTTAGGAATTTGTATTCATGTTTCTGTGGATGTGTGATTTATTAACCACCTTTCTAAGTGTCTAGTGATCATTTTGAATAGATCTGAGCTCTAGGAACTATTTTGGCTCATGGCAAACATCAGTGATTTCAGGTAATCATGTTTATAATCTGACAGGAGGTACCACGTGGCATTTTCCTGGCATTTTAATTTTTTTCTGAATATAGTTGTAAAAAGGATCAAAATGTCTCTCCATAGCACTCTGTGAGGTAGGCAGTATGAGTTTACACTCCAGCTCTGGGATATGGGATGCCCTCTCTGGCCTCTGAATGTCCCCACACACACAGGTGACATATACACATGGACACATACACAGAAACACAAATTAAAAATGAAAAATGAATCCCTTTTATGAAAAGAAAAGAACATTTAAAACGCAAAAATCCACCATAAGTATATCAATTCAAAAGTCGTGGATTTCTATGAAGCTTGTCCTATTTTATAGATAAAAAGATGATTTCATCGTTCACTCTGTTCTGATCATCAAGTCAAAGATCGTAGTAAAAGTAAAAGAAATATTCTAGTTATCTTCATACATAATGAAAATTAAAACAGTGCCCAAGACAGCCCACTGGGCATGCTGGTTCCCTTCTTAGCTTATATACACAACTATATACATATGTATGCATGTGTACATATGTGTGCAATGCAGACAATGTAAAGTTTTGACCAGCTACATGCACAACTGAATTAACCTGATAATCTTTTATATTTCTGATGAATTCAGGCTCTCTTTATTGGCTATGGACCTGCCTTCAAGCATGGTGCTGAAGTTGACTCTTTTGAGAATATTGAAGTCTATAACTTAATGTGTGGTAAGTGTGAGCAGCCATTCTGACAGGTGTAAGATGGATGTTCTTACAGAAGGCCTGAGCTTGGTTTGTAGCACCCATTTTGGGTGGCTTACAACCACCTATAACATTAGCTCTTGTGGGACAAGTGGGACTTTGGCCTCTGTTGTCACCAGCATTCACATGTACATATGCAGGCTCACACATACATATGATTAAAAATAAATATAATCGTTTTGTTTGTTTTTTTTTTTGAGACAAGATTTCCCTGTGTAGCCTTGGCTGTTCTGAAACTCACTGTATAGAGCAGGCTAGTCTCATATTCGGAGATCTGCCTGCGTCTGTCTCCATGTGCTAGGATTAAAGGTGTGGGGTATATGCAACCATGGGTTAAAAACAATCTTAAATAAATGAAAAGTTCAGAAATTTGGGTGACATAGCACTTATGTCAGGATCACAACACCATATTTGGGGTGGAGAGATGACTCTATAGTTCTTCCAGATGGTTTGGGCTGTGTTCCCAATGCTGCCATAAGACAGCTTACAAACAGCATCTAACTTGAGCTGCAGGAAATCCAACACACTCTTCTGACCTCCACAGACACCTACATTCACATGCACACTTGTGCACATACATGTTACACTCACATGCGTGCATATACATACACGTACAGTTTTTATAGAATAATTATAATAAAAATAACTATATATGGGTAGAAGAATCACAGGTTCCCGTAGTTCAAAGCCAAGCATGTTCTATCTTCATTCTAGTTAAACAGAAAGAGAATCAAATATATCAGATTTAAAACAATAAAATGGAACTCATAGTACAAGTCAATTTGTTTGGTCTTGAAATGTCTGGTTAACTCTTTACCATTCTTGGGACTATGCAGATTTATTGGGTTTGGTCCCAGCTCCGAATAATGGAAGTCATGGCAGTCTCAACCACCTTCTAAAGAAACCCATTTATACCCCAAGTCATCCCAACGAAGAGAGCTTCCTGTCCCAGTGTCCAATCAAATCAGTATCCAATGACCTTGGCTGCACATGTGACCCCTGGGTGAGTATAGCTGTAAAACATTGTATGTGTATGAGAGTCTCTCTCTCTCTCTCTCTCTCTCTCTCTCTCTCTCTCTCTCTCTCTCTCTCTCTCTCTCTCTTTCTCTCTCTCTCTCTCCCTCTCTCTCCCTCTCTCTCTCCCTCTCTCTTTCCCTCTCTCTCTCCCTCTCTCCCTCCCTCTCTCTCCCTCTCTCTCTCCTTCTCTCTCTCCCTCTCTCCCTCTCTCCCTCTCTCCCTCTCTCATTGTGTGTCTATGTGTAGAGTGTAATATAGAAAATGCTAAGATGAAATTAGAATGTAGACATTGATGTACCTTGTTTATTAAGCATATGTGTGCTTACTTTTAAATCTAAGAACACATACAGACCGTTTCTTAGACATCCCCCCATCTACCTTCTGCGTCTTTAGCTGTTTGTCATCTCTAGGTGTTATGGCCCCTCGAGGGCAGGTGGGCCGAATTTACGATCCTTTGAATAGGGTAAACTTATGTTACTGAATGTTCCTTCTCTCAAGTAAGGCCCAACCCTCAATCTACTCCAACTTTAGGAGAAAAAACCCTGTGTGTGGTGGGGCGAGGAAGGGTTTTTGTTATTCAAATGGATATAACACATGGTTCCATTTTCATTATTGGTAACTGTCCTAATCATAGTGATACTGTCTTAGCTGTCATAAGAATGTAAAAGTACCCAGTAATCTATGAGCCCAATAGACAAGATTCATGAAGTTAGTAGTTGGAGCTTATTGTACTCGTTCTCTTTTGTTTGCCTTTGGTTTAGACGTGGAATAGAGGTCAGCTTGTAAAGCAGATTTATAGTTTCAGTTGCCACAGTCAATCTTGTCTCATGGTGACTGTGGCTTCTCCTCTTTCACCCCCTTGTCAAAGAAGGAAAACATCTCACACTATATTTTGTAAATTTTCTTTTTGTTTCTTCTTGGATTAGTTAAGCTACAGAAATGATATAGTACAAAATTAAAGTGTGTGTTCTCACTCCTTAAATGTCCTTTTATAAATCTCTTTTAGATTGTGCCAATCACGGACTTTCAGAAACAGTTTAATCTGACCACGGAAGATGGTAAGGCATGTTTGCCTCAGCTCTAAAATGTGGACGCAAGTCCTTCTCTGTGTAAGCTTCAGAGAGTTGTTGGGTTGCAGGGGCATTCTTTACAAAGAACCAATAAACGGGGCCATTTGATGAAATAATTTTCTCTGCCAGATAGTCTAGAACTTTATTCATAAGGCAAGAAATGTCGTTGTACACTGAAAAGGTATACACCCTCTTTTGTGAAAGCCATGTCTTTCTGTACATGTTGAAAGTGTTTTTGAAATTTTTAAGATTTTTGTGTGTTTATAGGAAAGCTCAGATTTCCATTTAAAATACCTGAATGTTTTCTGTCCCCTTGCTTTAAAATTAATTGTGAGAAATTACAGGTTGATTTATCTATCTAGATTTACTTCCTTATATTTTTTTAAATTAACTTATTTTTTTAAAGATTTAGTTATTTTATGTATGTGAGTACACTGTCACTGTCTTCAGACACACCAGAAGAGGGCATCAGGTCTCATTACAGATGGTTGTGAGCCACCATGTGGTTGCTGGGATTTGAACTCATGACCTCCAGAAGAGCAGCTGATGCTCTTAACTACTGAGCCATCTCTCCAGCCCAACTTATTTTTTATTTATCCTTTTCTCATGGCTTTCTAATGAAGGCTATGACATTGTAGGCAGCAGATGCAGTATTTCTAACTGTGGCTTGGATTCTCAGAGTTACTTTGGTCCACTCTCTGATCTTTAGATGATTGACTGATACTTTCTCCTTGCTGAATCAAAGGGATAAGTTCTACATTAATCCTGATTTGAGCTGGTCTTGTAACTTGGAATTGGGGAATCTTTTATCCCCAAGTGGCACGGTGTGTGATAACGACTGACGCCTTGAGATCATGGTGGAGCTGAGTTTGTGGGCTCAGGAGCAACATGATGTGGGGAGTATTTATTCTGTGCAGGCCTCCATCATCTCATCTGTGAAGTAGGTGCAGGACAGTACTTCTTAAGGAGATGTAGGAAACAAGTTGAGAACCATTCTGCAAAGCACCTGACCTTTAGAGAAAGGGCATTAAACCATTGTCTACAGTGACGTCATATCTGCCTCTTGCTCCTAGTCTTTGCCTTATAACTACCCACATGTGCCTTCTGCACTTACCAGTCACTTAGTGAAGAGTGATTAAAACAGCATTAAAGAATTTCAGGGGACCTCTGATGCAGTTAAATGGGTCGATTGCTTGCCAGCATGCATGAAGTCCTGGCTCCATTCCCCCAGTGCCACAAAGAATTAGGCATGCTACCATGCACCTGTAATGCCCGAACTCAGTAGGCAGAAGTAGAAGGATCAGAAGTTCAACGTCAGCCCTGGCTGCACACTCACTTTGATTCCAACCTGGGCTAACCTGATACTTTGTCTCAAAAAATATTATTTATTTATTGGGTAGTGTAACAAGAATGTATGATAATTCAAGACAGTATTCTCTTGTGATACTTTTAAAAAAATATATAGAACATTGATATTTCAGTAGAAAAGGCAGTTTCGTGGACTTATATTTGCATGTGGTTCTATACCCTGCAATTTTTGTGATGTGTTTATGGTTAAAAGCATATTTCTCTGTGTGCTTCAAAAGAGGAGAGGGTTACATGAGTACTCCATTTTATAGCACTAAACAATGTAAAGCATGGTTTTATTTTCCCTTTATGACCCAAATAGAGGATATTTACTCTATAACTGTACCCTATGGAAGGCCCCGGATTCTGCTGAAGCAGCACCGCATCTGTCTGCTCCATCAGCAACAGTTTTTGACTGGACACAGCCTGGACCTCCTCATGCCCCTCTGGACGTCTTACACCTTCCTCAGAAATGCAAGTATCTGTCCCCTCTTGTGCTATGTTGAAAGCAGTTTACTGCTGTTAATCTGTTACCCCTTCCTGAATGAGGAGAGGAATCCAGAAGTTAGGGCACAGCTTTAGATCTGTCACTGTCTCTCTGTGTGACTATGGAACTCAGATGAACTCTGTAGCGGATTTCCTTTATGCCCCTTTACCCCCCTCCTTCTTTTTGATTTTTCAAGACAGTATTTCTCTGTGTAACCCTAGCTGTCCTGCAACTCACTTTGTAGACCAGGATGGTCTTGAGCTCAGAGATCTGCCTGCCTCTGCTTCCTGGGTGCTGGGATTAAAGGCTTGTGTCACCACCCCCAGCTACCCCTCTATTTTTAATATTGTGTGACTCTGATTTATAATCCCAGGAAATCAGATTGGCAATAGGTCACAATTACTCTTTTGGAAAGGAAGAAATGGCTGTCTGAGTACATGGGTTGTCTCCAACTGACCAAATTTAAGGAGACCCATGAGAACTCTGTCCAGTTGCTGCCCCTCATTCACCTGAGAACCCCAGCACAGAAGGACCAGCAGGCATTTATGTCCCCCTCCTGCCCCTGCCAACAACAGAGAAGTGGAGGCTTGAAGGATCATGTATGGATATCACAGAATCAGATTCCACCCTCACTCCCTCCAGCCCCATGGTGCTTAGATGGAAGGAGAATGAATGGTAAAGCAACCATGGGTGATTGGTGAGCCATAAAGATCCCTTAAGGGATTGCAAAGAGATGGATGAGTGCTCCATTGAAGGAAGCAGTGAGGCTTCATGAATAAATTTAGTTTTAGTGTTGATACTCTCTGAGAGTCCTAGATAAAAAGATAGGGAAATACACACACACACACACACACACACACACACACACACACACACATACACACACCTATCATTTCTACTCATTTTTATAGATAGTCACATTGTGCAAAACTTCTTGGGCATTTTAAAAAATGTTTGAAGGTTACCATCAGTCAGTTTCTTCCCCCTGTAGTCTGTAGTGTTCACATGTTTGGTGTGCAAAGCGTTTATTGTGGCCAACTGCTGAAATTTGTGATTGATTCTGCTTGATTCTGGTTTTCTTATCCAAGCAAAGCTATGTGAAATCACTAAAGACCCCTGAGATCGATCTCTCTCTCTCCCCCCCCCCCTCTCTCTCTCTCTCTGTCTCTGTCTCTCTCTCTCTCAGAAACTTTTGGCTGTATTTTTAGATGGAGAAAACTTCCTGGAAATTGTTTAACAAAACATAACCATCAGAGCAGAAGATGCTTGCACATATAGGAATTAATAGTCTTCCCACTGTAAAACGTGTTTGTGCTTTAGATAGAAAATATCCATAGACAGATGGGAAATGGGAGAGGGCTGTGACTCTGTGCTGGGGCAAGGCAGCTTGCCTCTAATTCATTAGCTTCCATCTCTGCTCCATGGCTGATACCTGCTGATTCTCCACCATTTGTTCCTCAGGACCAATTCTCCACAGATGACTTTTCCAACTGTTTGCATCAGGACCTTCGGATTCCCTTTAGTCCGGTGCATAAATGTTCCTATTATAAAAGCAATTCTAAGCTAAGTTATGGGTTCCTCATGCCACCAAGTAAGTACTTCCCCACCTCTGCACCACGACTTTCCCTTCCCCTAGCTTTTCTCTTTGCTTGCTTATGAATTTCTCATGAGTCTGGGGGTGTGGCTTACTGCTAGAGAACGCTTCCTGGTGTGTAGGAGTCCTTGGGCCAAGTGTCAGCTGCAAATCAATAATAGCAATAATGAAAGTAATCAAATATATTAGTGAGAAATATCTCCCGTGTATTCTGTGGCACGGTATGGAGTTTTTTTTTTTAATTGACCAGTGAAAACGAAAGGTTAGGAACAGAATTGGGGAAACATTTGTTTGAGGCTTGAATGTCTGATTCATTGTATGCTGTGTTTGGGGAGTAACTGAACTTGTGCAAATACTTCAGGTAGAAGGTGCTGTCTTTTCCCTGCATTTCCCTGAAAACTTGGAAGTGAATGGCTGTATCTATCTCTTAGGAAGGAGTAACCCCCTCCCTCCTTTCCTCCCAGGACTACCCTCACAAAACTTCCCCCATTGCCTCCTTCCTTTCTTCTCAGAGAAGGGGAGGACCCCCTTGGGTACCAGCCTGCCCTAGGACATCAGTTCACATCAAGACTAAGCACATACTCTCCCACTGAGGTCCAACCAGGCCCGTAACAAGAAGACTTTTAAGGCCAGCCTTAAAAGGCAAAAATCAAAAGGCCCCAGGTGCCCAAGCCCTCAGCTTCAAGTCCAACACTGAGTAAGCTCCTGCAGACAACACTTGGCCATTGGACTGCAAGAGAGCAGGTCCTAGCTCAGTTTACACAAAGAAGCCTTGTGTGGCATGCTGAGGCAGACTCCTTGGGTTGTTTTTTCTGGGTGGTAGGTGTTGTGCTGAAGCCAGAACTTCTGAACTTTCTTCCTATGGCTGCAAAAAAAAAAAAAGTTTGAGAAGTTTGTAAACACAATAATCTTTCAGCTGAAATAAAAGAAATAAGGTAAAAGTTTGAAAAGGTATAGTTCTGGGCTTTCTCATTAATATCTGTGCTTCTTTGATAAATGATCAGCACAAAAAAAAATGAGTTTGCATTTTTGTTTTTTTAAGGAACTTGGGCAAATGTATTGTGTTTCCTGTCTGCTAGAAAACCTGGGCAGGTTTTACAGGCTTCAGCTGACTCTCAGCTGACTGCTTCTCTCCACCCCAAAAAATTGCAAAACGTTCTTCATGTTGAATGAAAGAGTCATTTTCTTTTTTTTTTTCTTCACAGGACTAAATAGAGCTTCAAATAAAATCAACTCTGAAGCACTCCTTACTTCCAATATAGTGCCAATGTATCAGAGCTTTCAAGGTAAAAGCCTTTAATGATGGTTTCATTATATGTATATCTACTCATTGTGTAATATAATTTATAGTTTTGATTAAATGTGTACTTATGCTGGGTGGTGGTGGTGCACGCCTTTAATCCCAGCACTTGGGAGGCAGAGACAGGTAGATTTCTGAGTTCGAGGCCAGCCTGGTCTACAGAGTGAGTTCTAGGACAGCCAGGGTTATACAGAGAAACCCTGTTTCAAAACAAAAAAAAAATGTGTACTTATCGTATGCCCTCTTCAGGTACTTGAACATACAAAAAAATTCTATAAATACTAAGAGGTATATTCTAGTATATGTTTGCTTTGTATTTATGTGTTATATGCATTTTTAGCAAAAAAGTATATAGTATGTTCTCTATAGTTTCATAGGGAATCCCATAAATGAATATATCAGCTTTTAGTATGGTTCCTTATTTAAATAAGTTTGGGTAATTATTTTCATTTTAATAATGAATAGATTTCACAGCATTCTTAGCCATTTCAGTATCTGATTCCTAGAAGAGTAAATAGGCATTCTAAGGTAGACTTATGATACAGAATATAAAATCTACCACGTATAAGGACATTTTATTTGAATTTTTGTCATGGCACATGTGTATTTTCAGAGGACAAATTGAGTTATGAGTAGTGATTCTGATTCATGGTTTCATCAGTGTTCAGTGTTGACACACAGTCATTACTGCAGCTTAAGGTACTTATTTCCGAATACAGAGATGGAGTTGAATCCACATTTGCCCTTTAGTCTTTCTCAAAGACAAAAGTAGATCATACATTCTGGGCTTGGCAATAAGACTGAAGCCAATCTTGACCAAGTCTTCAGTTATTACAAAGACTAGCATTGCTTTGTGCCACTTGCCAGTTCCACACAGCAGCCTGGTGTGTCATTCTTTTGAAATTACAGCATCTTCTCTTGTCTTTCAGTCATATGGCACTACCTTCATGACACCCTACTGCAAAGGTATGCCCAAGAAAGGAATGGCATCAATGTTGTCAGCGGTCCTGCGTTTGACTTTGATTATGACGGACGTTATGATTCCTTAGAGATCCTGAAGCAGTAAGAACATATTTTATACTCTTAAAAGTAGCTATAGAGGGGGATTTCCATGTAGTCAACAGACCCTTTTGTGTGTACAAAGGAGACATGTATCACCCAGAGGCATTTGAAATCTCTACGACAGAATACTCAGTTTCAATCAAATATTTTTTTCAACGAGAGAACTCATGTCTCCCCACTCATGATCATGGTGTACATGTTGATCCCAATTTCAGATCTCTGTGTGGTTCAGTGTTGGGATGATCATTTAATAGATGGTCAACCAGAAGCAGACACTTTGAACCCTTGTGCTGCTATGGTGTGGGGCAGGATTCAAACTCAGGATCTCCCACAGGGAAGACAAGCACCTACCACTGCTATGGTGTGGGGCAGGATTCAAACTCAGGATCTCCCACAGGGAAGGCAAGCACCTACCACTGAGCTATATGCCCCGCCCTGGTTGATCTCTATTAAAGCAAATAACTTAACAGCATTTTCAAAAGAAAATCTGCTCCCAAAACCAACAGACAGATACCAAAGACTCTACTGAGATTTTGTCCCTAACAGATAACTCTCTTATTGCTTTATAACAAAACGTCTTGGGAGTACGTTAGTTTGTAAAATATGTACTTTTAAACTGTGTCTACTATTTTAGGTTTTTGTGTGCTTGTTTGTTTGTTGGTGGCAGGGTTTCTCTATGTAGTCCTAGCTATCTTGGAACTTGCCATATAGACCAGGCTGGCCTTGAAGACACAGAGATCCACCTTAGTGCTTGGATTAAAGGTGGGTGCCAACACACCCAGACACCTTAGCTGTGTCTATTGAAGCAGAATATTTTTTTTTACATAGCTGACCTGTAAGCCATGTTGTGGAGGTTGTAGAAGAGGCCTTATGTGTTTCCCTCTCACACTGTTAGGAAGAACTCTTGTGCCGGGCAGTGGTGGCTCACGCCTTTAATCCCAGCACTTGGGAGTCAGAGGCAGGCGGATTTCTGAGTTCGAGGCCAGCCTGGTCTACAGAGTGAGTACCAGGACAGCCAGGGCTACACAGAGAAACCCTGTCTCGAAAAACAAAACAAAACAAAACAAAAAAACCAAAACAAAACAAAAAAGGAAGAACTCTTGTTTTCAATGTATGTTACAGGTTATGACTCAACACAGGGTCATATTTGGAAAATAGTGATGTCACTACCTTAGATTTTGAAAAATGCCCAACAAATAAGCACAGGTTTAAGAATAGAGGTCATAGTCTTAACAAGAGACAGTGGTTAGTTTGTGATTCTTTTTTTCAGTTAAAGTTTAGGGATAAAAATAGAAATTCAGTCAAAGGAATGGAGAATTCATGACATGTCTTCTCTGAAGGGAAGGAGGGGCCTTGGTTGATTCTCTGTCATTGTGTGGCTGACAAAAGACCATCAATATTGTCTAGAGTTAGAATATTGGTTGTAAGTTTGTAAGTGTTCAAAGACTTCATGTATGTGTATATGTGTATAATGCTGAAGTATTATTAATAGAAAGATAAAGGTTTCTTAATGAAAGTGAATATTGCATATTTTACAGAAACATCAGAGTCATCCGGAGTCAAGAAATTCTGATTCCAACTCACTTCTTCCTTGTGCTCACCAGCTGCAAGCAGCTATCTGAGACTCCTTTAGAGTGCACAGCGTTAGAGTCCTCAGCCTTCATCCTGCCTCATAGGCCTGATAACATCGAGAGCTGTATGGTAAGTAACCTCCCTTGCTTCTCTCCAATACTAACGCGTTACCTGTGTGTGCCATACATTGCTCACACTCTAGAAGAAATGGAACTCCTGAGTGTACATGGGCTTTGGATTTATCTGATGGTATTAAATTATAGACAGCATGTTGTGTGTATGTGTGTGTGTGTTTTTGTGGACATGCATGCTGCATGCCTTGGTGCATCAGGCATGTTGGAGGCACATGGATGTGTGTGAGGAGTTGATTCTCTTCTTCCAGCATGTGAGGTTTAGGGATCGAACTCAGGTTGTCAGGTTTGATGACAAGTGCCTCTACTCACTCAGAGCCCATCTCAGTGGCCCTTAAATTAATATTTGAAGTTGACACATCTTTGTAGAAGACCATCTTGTCCTTAAAAATATAAAAATCATGTCAGAAACTTCTAATATGGATTAGTTGCTAAAGTCTACATTGATTTGTGATAGGAATTTTCTTGGATTCCAAAACTAGACTTGTATATATTAGTATACATTAGTATACTTGTATACTTGTATACATATTTATACTTGTATAGATTAGTATTAAAGCTGTAGTCAGAAGGCATTTTAATATGGTTCCTTTACACCTAATGTTATTATGAAGATCTTTCTTAGACTATTTGCCATTCCAGTGGTTTTTTTTTATTGTTGTGTTGAACAATTGTTGATTTTTTCACCAGTTCTTTTCCTTGAGAGTAAATTGCTGATAAGTACACATCAGTTGTCCAGAATGATGCAACACATATTAAACATTAGAAGTGTTCTGGAACAATAGCTGAGGCATCAATCAGAGAAGTGAGGAAGGAGCCTCTAGTAACAGGGTCAACTGTCTACTGCCTTGGCGCAGTGCTGTGATCAGTGGAGCCATAAGGGACCCAGACCATTCACCTCTTCTGTTCCACTGTGCTCAGCTCGCGGCTGTGGCCTACATGAACTAATGGTTCCTGCTTTTCAGATTTCACATTTGAATTCTGCACTGACCTGCTGGGGACAGGGGGAAGGTAGCCCCAGGTTTACTCTTTCATCAAAATGTTGAGTGACCTGAGTCAAACATCACAAGCCTATTCTACTCTGCTATTCTAAAAGAGTGCCCTCTATTGTTGATGGGAACATTGTATTCAATTCTTTAATAGGAGCTTAAAAGACATTAAATATTGTGAGCCAGAAAGAGGGCTATTTTAAAGCTTGTTATATAGTTACTGATCCTTCTGCTTCCCCTCTGAAGGAGTGGCTAAGCAATAGTTGCACTAGCCTGAAGAAACACTGTTTATGTGCCCTCTTCACCCATTCCTAAGAATGTTGAAACCAATAGACATTGCCTACAGATAAGTCTGCTTTGTATGGGAAAACTCTGTTTATTATTTTCTACTAATAAGATCCCAAGAATGCATAGGGCTTTTAGAACAATTACATTTATTAATAATGTGTGTGTGTGTGCACATTTATTTGTGCAAATGCTATGAGATCTCAGAGAACATCTTTCAGGAGTTGGCTCCCTCCTTCCCTGACCTTTGTCCTGGGGACTAAATTCATGCAGCCAAGTTTGGCAGCAAGGACCATTAGCTGCTGAGCCATCTTCCTGGACCCATAGGCCTTTTTGATACATGTCTTTGACCTTTTCCCATGGCCATTTTCAGAAATGCTGATAACATATGGATGTATCATTTCTATACATGTTTCCTGATTTAACTACGATCTCTACTTCCATCGACAGGGAAGTCTGCTTTTGGTTCTTTTCTGAGCACACATTATCTAGGTCTTTACTCTCTTCAGAAATTAAATTTTATTTTACCTATTTTCCAAAGCCATTTCCATGGGACGATAAAGATGACACATTCCTGTGGTAACTAGAGTTGGTGTGATATAGTTGCTCACATCTTTATACTTGATCTTTAAAGAAGAGATGGCTCAGTGGTTAAGAGCACTGACTGGTTTTCCAGCAGGCCTGGGTTGAATTCTTAGCACCTACATGGCAGCTAACAACCATCTATAACCATAGTTCTAGGACATCTGATCACCTGTTTCTCATGATGCACAAGTAATGCATTCAGGCAAAAAAACCCCATATATATATAATTTAAAAATAAATAAATCTCAATAATAAAAGCAACTAAATAACTAAATGCACCCTTCTAGAAGATATGACAAAGAAGTACAATTTTACTTAGGTATTTTTCCAATAGTACATTCATATGACCAGAACTTGAATCCATTTTCCCCACATTTCTTCTCTACCATGTTATATAGTTCCCATTTCTGTTTTTTGTTTGTTTGTTTTGTTTTGTTTGTTTGTTTGTTTTTGTTTTTTATTTTTGTTTTCAAGACAGGGTTTCTCTGTGTAGCCCTGGCTGTCCTGGAACTCACTCTGTAGACCAGGCTAGCCTCGAACTCAGAAATCCGCCTGCCTCTGCCTCCCAAGTACTGGGATTAAAGGTGTGTACCACCTTAGCCTGGTTCTGGTATTTTTTAATACCAGAAACTTCTATGAATGAGTATTCTTACAGCTATGTGGTGTGTAACTAACTGTTCTCAGTTTGCTTTCTTTCCCTTAAATCTGATCTAATTCAGCAGTTATGCTTGTTGTATACACTGGAAAATGTTATTTAAAAGTATGAATTATGCCTAAAATGGACCCTGTGACTTCTGTCATTTCCCAGCCTAAAATGTTCTAAGTTTAAAAACACTGGAAAGAGGGGGACCTTATTGGGACCATGTACTGAGTGTTCTCTGGTGACTCTTTTTTATCTTCTGTTCTTCTAGCATGGGAAGAGGGACTCTTCATGGGTTGAGGAATTGCTGGCCTTGCACAGAGCTCGGGTCACAGATGTCGAACTTATCACTGGCCTCAGCTTCTACCAGGACCGACAAGAGTCAGTTTCAGAACTGCTGAGGTTGAAAACACATTTGCCAATCTTCATCCAAGAAGACTGATTGTTTTTTTATTAAAAAAAATACACTATGGATCTTTTGGAAAGAGTCTTATATTTTATACAGTCCTCTACACTTTTGCATTGTTTGGAAACTGTCAAGTGGAGTTACAACTGGGAATCCTGTGTGGTGCCGATGTCCCTGGGCTATGTGACAAGTCAGCACATCTGCAGAGTGTTCCTGTCCTGTGCCGTGCAGATTTCCTATCTAAGAATTAGTTGTGTTATAAGGTACTGGGAGTAAGGACACTTCACCTCAAACCCGTAAGTGCTCTTGGGTCTCTCTTAAGGGACACGGGACAGTGAACATGGTCTAGGGACCTGATGTTGGAATTGTATTGTTAATAAAACTAAGTAAAGGACTGGGGTAGCTCATGTCCTACTAAAAAGATGACTCTGGATTAATTTTTACTTGGAGTTTCAGGTTTAATTAAATGAGGTCCCATTTCTATTGTTTTTGTCTCCTCCTCCAATAACCAAATCATTAGTCTTGTGCTTTTAAAACAAATTTTAATTGGATCTTTTCAAGTTTAGTGGCTTTCAAAAACTGGACTTTGATGGGAAATTTGTGAATTGAGTATATCTAGCTTTTATAAAAGTCACTCTACGTCTGTACACACACATGTGCACACACGCTTGCACACACACGTAACACACACATGCGTAACACACTCTTGCACATGCACACACATATGCACATGCACATCCAAGTCCTCTTCACTAGAAATAAATGAAGACTGAGAAGCCCTGAGCATGGTTCTGTCAGGCCATTAAAATTGTTTCCGTGAAACCCCAGAGCACTCATTGGCACTTGCAAAGTGACATTTTTTCATCCAGAGGAATGTTTCCTCTGCACAAGAGACCCGACAGTGGGAGAAGGGCTTTGCCTGGCTTAGCTCTTCAATTTGAAGCTGTGTAGATCTGAAGAGGATGCATTACCCATCACTTAACACCTTCACTGTGCACACGACAAATGACACGATGATATAATTTCCCCTCTGCATTGATCCAACCTGTGACCCTCCAGAGGCTGTATTAAAGTTTAGGTTTCCTGGGTCCACTTTAATATAATATTAGTCTACCAAAGATTTTCATATGTCCTTCCCAGGATAATCATTCCTTTTGTCATCTGTAAAGATGTTTAGATTAAAAAAAGTGCAGCTGACATTGATGTAATAACTTAGAAGGTGTTTTGTTTTACCCATAGACTCTGGCATGCACATCTTTCAGTCTGTTCTTCCCATGTTTGGTACTTCCTGCCAGTTTGTCCAGGGCTTTGTTTAGTTTTATGTTACCTTTTATCTCATCCATTCTGTTCTTGTTCCCAGTGGATTTGTACATAAGCTATTGTTTTATTTGTAAAATGTTATTTGTGTTTTGTTCTTTATGTCTTCTGTTTGCTGAGAATTTTATCGCTTCCATTGAGTATCAGCGTCTTCATTTGTTTCTTGTGTATCTGTGGTTGACGGAGCATTGTTATGATGCTATTGTACAGTCCTTGTTGGTACAGCCACATTTCCAGTGTCCATTGTTTCTATACAGAGTTGGTTTTTCTTGTTCTCAACGTATTTTTCTGCTTCTGATGATTGTTTTAAATTAACACCTGGATATTTTAGGCATTCTGTCTTAACACTCTGCATCATGGGTAAATCTCCTCTGACATAATGCCAACAGGAATACTGGGGGCTCGGCCTCTTTCTTACTATCTGGGAGCTGAAGTATTCCACCTCCTCTAGTGATGTTGGGATGACAGGAGGTAACAGGATGGGGATTCAGTTCTCTGTTAGTTCATTGCTGATGTCTCCCATGCTGGGATGTGAACAGTACCACTTACTGCTCCTGGCTGGTCTCCAGTGGTGCTGGCATCCTGGAGAAAGCTTCATCACCACTGGATGGGGATGACATTCTCAGTCTCCTCAGCCTTAGCTATCACTGCCCTGGCAGTGGAGCTGGAGAGCTGGGCATGGCTTTACAGCTTGCTGAAGGTAGGCGCGTAGGTTCCACACCCTTTGCTGGTGTAGGAGGGTCTTTTTTGTGTGTTTCCCAGGAGCAGAGTAGATTTTGTAGAGTCCTACTTTGCCCTTTTCCTGCCCTTTGAATGGGGAGAGCAGGCCATGTTTTCCATTCCCTGCTTTTCCTATTCTGACATTTTCATGTTGCTCCTTCATCAAGTCTGAAGGAGATGAGCTAAAAGGGAAACTTGGAACATGAATCATTATTCTTGAGTCCTGAGATACTTAATCTGCCTATGTATTATTCAGTCCTTCTGGGTTTGTTTTATGTTTAATATAAAGGCTTTGTCACCAGTTCACAGAATGTGTGCTTCACTTCTGTAGAAGTGTTTCACAGAATACACACACACACACACGCACACACACACACACCCACATACACTTGAAGCATCCCAGTGGGGCGTCATTAAATGGATAGGTTCCCATTCTCTGAGCTAGACACTAAAGTTGTAAAGAGGAACTGGTTACAATTCCTATAATCTTGAGGAAACAAGCCACAGCGGCAGAAGTGAGAGTGGATGCCTAAGGAGTAGGAACTGTTAGTGAAACATGAAAAATATACTGAGTACTTAATTCAGAGTCCATAGCTCTTAGGGGCTACCTGTAGGTGACGGTGGCTTTATCCTACCTTTTCTCTCAAGGACTATTATGCAAAATGACCCCTCCTCTTTAAATCCTAAATTTGACTTCTGTACCTTGGGAGTCCATACTTCTTAAGGGAAGTAAGTAGATTCCTAAGAAAACAGCCTGTGTAGCCAGTACCTTCACTGCTGAGAAAGAACCAGGAAGAATTTTTTTAAAAAATATTTTCAAGAACCAGAGATGCAGAGAGGATGACAGTGGGAAAACGGTGAAGGCTCAGAGTCTGTAGGGAAAGTGCATGTGAAGCCTTCAGGAACTGTTTAAGCGGAGGCCGCCGTGGGAAGGCGTGTAGGAGGCATGAGGGGGTTACGCATGTAGGAGGTGTAACGGGATGAGGGGTGACCCCCTAAGAAGTTTGGTCCTCCTTGACTTTTTCTCTGTTATTAGCCAGGGTAACTTCTGTCCTGTGGGTACATGCTTATCTGCCGGAGGAACTGGCACTTGAACTTTGAAACAATTAAGCTGATTACCCTTCATGTAGAAACTTGTAACAGGAAGAGAGTGATGGTAAACGCATTCCTAAGCTGAAATTTTAGCATGGCTACAAAGCAGGGACATTTGGAGGCTGCTGTTAGTCATTCTAAAGACAACCAAAAATTATTCTACAGGATGTAGGTGTGTCTATACTGAGAAATGTCAATTTCTTAATAAAACTTTACTATATGGAGTCTTGGCAGCTTTCCTATGTGGGTATGTGTGGGGAGTGGGGTGGGGGAAAAGTGGAGCTCCCCACAGGGACAAAAACCGATGTGGAGTCCAAGCATTGTTGACATTAAATCAAAGATTCATTGATGGACAAAGAAAAGAAAGCAAAGTTCACTCCAGGTCCACAGAGCAAACACTGCCAACCTGCAACCTCTGTCCTCTTTGGGAGCAAGGGTGTGTGACTGTCATTCCAGTGTCTAGAAGAGTCTGAAACTTGAGGAAAGGTGCTAACTCGTGACAACTATAGACATCTTCAGAATGAAATGTTTGTACTTATCCCTTCCACTATAAGTAATGATTCAATAAAAAATGCTGTTTACTAGAAATTGTATCTATTATCAGAAACTATAAATACATGAAATATGTCTTAGTTTGGTACAAATGGAAGAATCAGTCTGGATGCCACAGATATTGACATGAAATAAGGCTCGGATTTTCTCTTCTAGCTTTGCATAGTATTCTCAGCTTCTTTCTGTTTTGTGAAAAGATTTCTTATCAGTTTACAATGCAACTGACCTGTACTTTACTGTTCTTCCCAATGCTGTTACATTTTAAGTCTATGTTAAATGTAAACTATCAGGCTAGGGGACAATTTCAAGGTTTTAATAAAAATAACTAATGCTTTGACTTAAAATTCTAATCCTGTTACCTATCAGAAATTCAGAATTCAGCATCTGGGGAGATGGCTCAGCAGTTACAAGCATTAACTGCTCTTCCAGAGGTCATAGGTTCACTTCCCAGCACCCACATCGAGGCACACAGATATCTGAGTCCAATTGCTGGGCAATCCTGAAACCTCTTCTGGCCTTTGCAGGCACTGCATGGCCAGCAAGCATGCAAGCAAGAACACTCATACCTATAAAGTAAGAAGACTCAGAATTCACAAGTAGAATCCATTTCAGTCTTCACTTACATAGTAAAAATACAGAACACTATTATACAGGAAGGGAAGACTGTTAATGATATCTCAATAATATTATCTTAGAATGATCAGGTATTTTTCACTATAAAAAATATTTATAGAACTAGGCATGGAGGCATAGTCCAGTGTTCTCAGCTTTGGGAGGCTGAGGCAGAAGCATCATGTAAAACTGTTTACAGCTCTACATGTACCAGTGTGGTGACTAGGGGCTGCCATGGCAAAAAGGCCTCAGAACTGGACATACGATATAGAAAACTTGAAAGTGTTTTAAATCAGGCAAATTTTCTTAGTCTAATGAGTCTATTTTATTGCTCAAATTTGCAGTTTTAAAATATTCTTCATGACCCCTCTAACCCTGGATTCTTATCATTCCCTGTAGTGTACCTGGACAATGTTACTATTTTGAAGAGCTACTCATGCATATTAAGTTACAAACAGAAACAAGCTTGCCAATCCTCGGAGCTCCCTGCACTTGTATCTAAGACGTGGCCAAGTTGTTTCCAACAGCTCATTTAAATCCAGGAATCTGATAATATTTAACTAGAACAAGACTCCCAGTGGCTTCCCAAGTGAAGCTGATTATTCTGTATCAGAGTGTGAGGCATCCGGGGCAAGTAGGAGTTGAAGAATTGAGAGAAGGACAGATGGAATTCCTGTCCCTCCTCGCTCACTTGTAAACATTAACCTCAAACACTGCTTCTCAAACTGCGGGTCTGGTATCAGATATCGTACATATCAGATATTTACATTATGATTCATAACAGTAGTGAAATTATAGTTATGAAGTAGTAAAGAAAATAATTTTATGGTTTGGGGGAGTCACACAACATGAGGAACTGAATTAAATGGTTACAGCATTAGGAAGGTTGAGAACCACTGCTGTAGAACAAGGTCTTGTCAGACCCTTCAAGATGTAAAATAGCAGACAGTACACGCCCCTGGGCTCCTGGTACTTCTCATGTGGCTGTAACATATGTGGATAGATGGCACTGTGTATCAAGAAGTTGTACCCAGACTCTAGCCACAACACCATGCTTGCTAATGGCAGTTTCTACAGCCACTACAGGAAAAAAAAAGTAGTTTCAAGATTGCTTAGTTGCTTTACAAGGAGACAATTGTCTGCATTCAGCCATCACAGGGACAACTTCTCCTTCTTGCTGGAGGGATCAAACTGAGTTCATGGTCTCAGCTCCACAACCAACTCCTTGTTCTCTTATCATCTTTAGTTACATGTCAAATATCCAGGATGAGGTCTGACCACCAAGGCTCTGAGTCAAAGGCCTTGAAACCAGGTGGGTGTGGAATGTTTACTTGTTTCCTGTAACTTCCTGGCCCCGAGTCAGGGCAAAACCACAATGGAGACTGCCTTGCCCAACCCCTTGCGTCAAAATATGATTGGACAATGCTATAGCCCACCCTGTTCCTCCTTGATTTGTGGCCTCATCCTTAAATATGCTGTACAACTTCTCTTCACGAATGCAGTTCAGCTCCATAGTCTGTTCTCTGGCCCCAGTGGATCAGTAACAGCATGATTACAATACATTTTTGTCATCTACATTGACCTGGTGTTTGAGTTATGTTGGATTTAAGCAGACCCCATAACAGCTCTACACATTCTGGCAATAAAATGCCCAATCAAGGCAGCTTAAGGGAGAATGGATTTATTCTGGCTTTCAGTTACAAGGGAATACAGTTCATTATGGCAAGGAAATCTTGGAAGCAGAGGCAGAAGGCTGTCCACAGGCAGTAAGGAAGCAAAGAGAAAGCAGGAAGTACCGGTCAGGCTACCAAACCTCCCAGCCTGCCCCCATGTTTCCTCCTGTTAAAGTGCTATCTCCTTCAAGTTCCATGACTTTCCCAAACAGCACTACCAGGTGTGGCCATTTGTTCAAATACATGCCTATGGGAAAATGTCACATTCAAACTATTGGGTGATGTCGTTATAAATGTAAAGGGACATCAGCTTCTACGGCGAACCCAGAGACCTGCATGATCTCTTCTTAGACAGAGTGCCATCACCACAGACTTCATCAGACCACAGATGCTAAGAAGCTGTGCCACAGACACATCCCTGCCTGGGCTCCTGCTGAGTCTGCTGTGACTGTAGCCTTTGCACTGGTTCTCAGAGCTGGAGCTGATACGGTTTATGGTCTGTAAGTGTTCTGTTTCACAGGGTTCATTCAGCAGTGCAGCATACTTTCCCCTGATGGTTATAAGCATGTTTTCATATTGGTATATAATTTGTCAGATATTTATTGTCCTGTTGCCAAAGTCACGTGTTACTAAAAGCAGAAATAAACTTGCGTCAAAATATACATCCGTTTCCAGTACAGACATA